CAGACTGGATAATGATAATTTTTGACTCATCTAGTACCATTATTCTGTAAACATTAATTATTTAGAAAAAATATTTTTGAATCGTTTAAAAGCTTTTAGTAAGTCGTCTTAATGCCATTCATAAACTTTTTTTAAGATTCACTTTCCATACAGTTTGACATGATAGTTTGTTATCTAACTTAAGTTGCATGGTGTGGTGGAGGCGGCTGTGGGATTGATGTGTGTGTGTGTGTGTGTGGAGAAGGGAGGAGAGAGCTATAGAGGAAGAGGTATAAAAATTTAAATGAAAATAAGTATCTCTTTGTTCTGTTTTATTTTTGATTACTATGTAACTTGAATACATAGCCTAAGAAGTGTACCATAATGTGTGAAAAGGGATCTGAAATAATTTATGAACAAGTTGAAATCTTGAGACAATGAGGATTTAAAATAACTCTGGCTATATATATCAATATTAAAATATTTACTGATAAAGATCAAAGAGCACAGCCTTCAGTATGGATTACATCTAAATGTAAAGAAAACAAATATCCTCACCACTGGACCAATAAACAACATTCTTATCAATGGAGAAAAGATTGAAGTTGTCAAGGACTTCATTCTTCTTGGATCAACTATCAACACTCATGGAAGCAGCAGTCAAGAAATCAAAGGACATATTGCATTAGGCAAATCTGCTGCACAAGACCTTTTTAAAGTGTTGAAGAGGAAGATGTCAGTTTGAAGACTTAAGGTGCACCTGACCCAAGCCATGGTATTTTCAGTAGCCTCATATGCATGTGAAAGCTGGACAGTGAATAAAAAAAGACCATAGAAGAATTGATGCCTTTGAGTTATGATGTTGGAGGAGACTATTGAAAGTGGGCAGCCAAAAGAACCAACAGATCTGTGTTGGAAGAAGTGCAGCCAGAGTACTCCTTGGAGGCCAGGATGGCCAAAGTTCATCTCTCATACTTTGGACATTTTGTCAGGAGGGACCAGGCACTGGAGACGGATATCATGTTTGTTAAGGTGGAGGATCAGAGAAAAAGAGGAAGACCCCCAGTGAGATGGATTGGCAAAGTGACAGCATCAATTCAAAAGTGGGATTGAATTGTACATTGATGGGGAACTGCCAGAGGCTCAAGCTGGATTCAGATGAGGATTTGGAACGAGGCATGTCATCCTGGCTAGAATCAGAGAATACCAGAAAGATGTTTACCTGTGCTTTATTGACTGTGCAAATGTTTTTGGCTGTGTGGATCTTGACAAGTTATGGACAACATTGTAGAGAAATGAGTATTCCAGAGCACTTATTTATGCTCATGAGGAGCCTGTACATAGACCAAGAGGCAGTCATTTGAACAGAACAAGGGGAAACTGAGGAAAGGTGTACCGCAGGGTTGTGTTCTTTCACTCTGTATGCTGAGCAAATAATCTTGAGAAGCTGGATTATGTGAAGAAGAACATGGCATGGATTGGAGAAAGGCTGGTTAACAACCTGCAATATGCAGATGATACAACCTTGCTTACTGAACGTGAAGAGGACTTAAAACATTTACTGGTGAAGATCAAAGACCACAGCCTTCAGAATGCGTTGCCCCTCAATGCAAACAAAATGTTAATCCTCACCACTGGAGCAATAAATAACATCAAGATTAGTGGAGGAAAGATTGAATTGATCAAAGACTTCATTTTGCTTGGATCCGTTATCAACACTCATAGAAGCAGCAGTCAAAAAATCAAATGATGTATTGCATTAAACAAATCACTTGCACAAGACCTCTTAAAAGTGTTCAAGAACAAAGATGTCAGTTTGAGGACTAAAATGTGTTTGACCCAAGCCATGGCATTTTCAGTAGCCTCATATACATGTGGAAGTTGGACAATGAATAAGTAAGACTGTAAAGGAATTGATGTATTTGAATTATAGTGTTGAAGAATATTGAAGGGACCATGGACTGCTAGAAGAATAAAGAACTCTGTGTTTGAAGAGGTACAATCAGAATTCTCCTTAGAAGCCAAGATGGTCGGACTTTGTGTCTCATACTTTGGACATATTATCGGGATGGACCAGTCCCTCGAGAAGGACATTATGCTTGGTAAAGTGATGGGCCAGTGAAAAAGATGGAAGACCCCTACGGAGATAAATTGACACAGTGGCAGCAACAATGGGCTCAAGAGTAGCTGCAATTGTGAGGATGGCACAGGATTGGACGGTGTTTCATTCTTTTGTTCATAAGGTTGCTATGGGTCAGAAACTACTTGATGGCACCAAATATTAACAACAACATGAGTCAGAATCAATTCGATGGCAGTTGGTTTAGTTTTTGATTGGCTTGAATTATTACGGAAGCCATTGAGTGTCATAATTTTCCTCCCCAAGATCCTTGGGTAGGTTCAACCTGACCACCTTTCTTTCAGGTAGCAAGCAGCATAGCACTTACCTGGCACTACAAGGACCCCTTTCTTCTCATCATATTACTGGCCAGTTCTTGTCCCATATGTTATTCCACTGGCATGTTCAAGCCCTGGGATTGGTTCATTGCCTCCAAACTGGATGCCTGTGTAGGTGTCAGTGAACTTGTTTACATGATATTCCCCTGGAAGGCTAATAAGATAACAGGATTAGTTCTTTTAAGATTGAAAAAGAAATTTTTACTTAATTTACATGTTGCAGTAACCACTTTAAAAAACTACATAACATTTGAAAATCATACTCAAACTATTTTATTTGTCTTAATGAAGGCATTTATTTAAAAAAATGATTTAAAGGACTTTTTGCAATTACATTCCTATTTTTAAAGACCTATTAATTGAAATGTACTAATTTTGAAAGTTAATTTCCTTGCTATTAATAATAAGTGTTTTCATTTTGTAATTTGGAATGTCAGTTTTTGTAAGTATATTACTTAACCATTTTAATATGTTTCTTTTTTTATAAATATTATTGCTTAGCTATATGTCCCCATTTGGTGCCTGCTTGTGACTTTACAGTATTTATATGACTCGCTTTAAAGATTTTGCATCCAGCATGGTTTGCATTTTAAGTTTATATCCTTTAATGCATTGCATATTTATTGTAAATTCATTTTACTTTTTTGAACTTTGTTCCATTAAAAGTCTAAGCTGTTATTCATAGTGTTCAGGATTTTGGGCAACTGAGAGCCTCAGTCCCTAAATTGTCCCTCGTAGTTGGTGCTTTGAGGGAGAAAGATGAAGCAATATGCTTCTATAAAAATTAAAACCTACCAAACCCTGTGGGACAGTTTTACTCTGTCCTGTTGGGTCAGAATCAGCTTGATGGCAGTAGGCTTGGTTTCTTGATTTGGAGATTTATTTGCTGTAGAGTTTTTAGGTGTTTTTGTTGTTGTTTTTTATCTGTTTATTTTTAACCTAAATTCTTTAGATATTGGTTGTTAGGCATTGTCTTGTATCTTTTAAATACATTTCCTTGGACAAGCTGGTTATACTGTATAACCCACAGTGTACTGTGTACTCTTCTATATATCATCCATGAATCCTGCTGGACTGTTGAATTTCCTAACGTTTTACCATTGCTTACTCCTGGAGGAGGATAGGCCATTGGTGAGATCATTATTGTTATGAGGTTTGTTAGCTGCCACTTTGTGATGGAGTCCTGATATGATGCTATAGGATAAGCACTCGATTGCTAACCACAAGGTTGGAAGTTCAAACCCACCAGCCGCTCCTTGAGAACCCTGTACAAGGTCGCTATGAATCAGAACCGACCTGAATGTAAACAGCAACACTAACTTTGTAATAATTGCTATTTAAAAAATATTATGACATTTCAAAATATCTTGATTATATTTGTGTAATTTTGACATGTGCTCTATACCGTATTCTATGTTTTACTTGTGACTTAAAATATCATCCTACTTTAAAACTTTTTTTTTGTATAAAAAGAGATGTATTACTCCCATCCCCAAAGAGAACATCTGAAGGAATTAGGTAAAATAAACCATATTTTCAATAAATCCATTTGCTCTCTATGTATGTGAAAGCTGGACAAATGAATAAGGAAGATTGGAAAAGAATTGATACTTTGCAATATGATGCTGACTAAGAACATTGAATGTACTATATGTAGACTGCCTGAAGATATCTATTCTAGAAGCAGTCCACCCAGAATACTCCTTGGAAGTGAGGATGGAGAAGCTTCATCTCACATGTATTCTGGACACATTATCAGGAGGGACAGTCCGTGGAGAAGGACATCATGCTTGGTAGAGGGTCAGTTGAAAAGAGGACCTTCAAAGATGGATTGACACAGTAGCTACAACAGTGGACTCAAAACTAGCACCGATTGTGAGAGTGGTCCAGAACTGGGCAGTGCTTTGTTTTATTATACATAGGATTGTGCCGCGAGTCAGAGCCGACTTGATGGCTCCTAACAATGACAGTAAGTCCTATAGAATAGGCTTCAAAAATGGAAAATACTTAGTGTAGTGTATTGTCAGAGGATTAGAACATGATATGAAGGATTAGAACACAATCCAAAGAAATGACTGTGGTAATAAGTTGCTTTAAAGTATTTTCCTATTTTAAAAGTTGTAGTCTAGGTGTAGTTGAATGATCTTTTCCCCCCTGTTATCTATGATGTTTGTTTTTTCAGTATATTTTTGAAGTCATGTAAGGTTCCCATCTTAAGGAAGAGTAGCTGTACTTCTGATGATGTCGTTTTTGGTGTTTCGTGTAATTAATTAATGCACATAGTCTCATTAAATAGGTGGAAGAACTGTGAAATAATGCCAGCCAGGGCCCATGGGGCCCAAGATGGGCTTGTAAATAAAGCTCAGTATTGTTTCTAGCCTTGAAATCAAAATTATACCAATTGATGTTTCCTGTTTGGATGACCTTGGCCCATTACCCTGAAGTGAATGTGTGGACAAATTCTGATATTATCTCACTTCATAAATCTGCTAGTATTTTTTCATTGTAACGCATACAGAAAAATAGTGACTAATTCTTCCCCCACACTTTTTTTTTCTTTTTAGAAAAATTGGAAGCTCCACCACCCACCACAGGACAGCTGAGATATGGTAATGGTTCTACAGTTATTAAATATTTGTTCATATATCTCTTGGACATGAAATACTTTGTATCATTCATCAATAGTACAGATGAGGCAGTAGATTTAAAGCGCTCCAAATAGAGTGCATTTTCTTAATAATTATGCTGAAAAACAAAGTTTATAAGCTTGGTTTAAGAAATATCTCATTACAGAATATTTAATCTATTTTTAAAGTCTAATATTGTTACTATTTAGAAATACAATTTTCCTTATGACAAGGATTTCTCAGAGTTTGAGTTTAAGGTGGGTCAAGGCTAGCTAGAACTGTTCTGGTGGAGAGCATTGTCCTGGCTAGTCATTTGTTGTACTGAAGAAGAGAGTGTGGGCATGCAGCAGAACCTGTCAGGGTCCCTGATGTGTTTGTCTGCTGTCGTAGGTGAGGAAAGATGATTCAAGGCTTACATTGCAGTAACATAATACAGTTGGAATTTTATTATAAAGATATCAAAAAAAGAAGATAATTATTTAATAGTAGAGTGAATTTGAGTAGGTTGTAAATGAAAGTTAAATATTAAATGTGCTTTGCTAACAATGGCTGAGTTATAGAATAGTGCTTCCCAAAGGAAAAGGAAGAAATCAAAAAAGTAAGATTAAATTCTATACTGGAGAGCAAACATCTTATAAAACAAAATCAAAAGCAAAAACTAAGAGCTAGTTGTTTTTTTTTTCCGTTTATGAGGTAGAAGAAAATTTATATTAGAAATTAGTAACTTTTCTCAAATAGCAAATAAATAAGATTTATTTTCCTCAGGTAATGTGGCTCTCCCAGTTTAGATTTATGTAATTGATTCATAGCATATATGTACTATTATTATATTTTAAGGTTGTATTGAGATTAACTGTTTATATGGTGCAGTGGTCACTGTAGGGTAAGCACTGAACTGCTAACCAAAAGGTCAATGTTTCAGACTCACCAGCCACTCCTTAGAAACCCTACACAGGATCTCTGTCAGTCGGAACTGACTCCATGGCACATCACAACAGCAACACTGGCTGTGTGTGACTGACTCTCTGAGGACTAGGGACAAGGTCTAATGTATCTTTGTATCTCAAGAACCTAATGGAGTGTTTGGTGCTTATTCAACTAGTAGTGGTGCATACTATTAATACACTCATTTGCTTATCAAAAAACTGAAGATTTGAATCCACCCACAAGTACCTTGAAGAAAGGCCTGGTGGTCTACTTCTGAAAAAATAGCTGTTGAAAACCAGCCCTCAGGAACACAGTTCTACCGTGACACACAGCCCTCAGGAACACAGTTCTACCCTGACACACAGCCCTCGGGAACACAGTTCTACTCTGACACACAGCCCTCGGGAACACAGTTCGACTCTGACACACAGCCCTCGGAAACACAGTTCTACCGTGACACACAGCCCTTGGGAACACAGTTCTACCGTGACACACAGCCCTCGGGA